CAACTCCAAAACTTTATACGTACTAACTACCAAATTTATGCTAAGTTATTATAATAAAAAAAAACATCTAAATCTTAATCCATTGACTATGTCTATGAAGCGTCTACTGATAAACTGACGCACTGCTCAGGACATGAGATTTCCTGGCCAGGTCTCTAAATAAACAAAGAAATAGCTAAATGAAAATGACTCTAAGAATACTCCACGAACAAAAGCGGAGCTCACCAATATCACTGGAAGGGAAGGAAATCCTAACTCGTAACCTGCTCGCCTGCAAATCCAGTTCCTATGTTGTACCGCAGACCAACGTAGGTTCCCAAAAGAGAACGTCAGTACCATCCACTGTACTCAGTGAGTCTCAACAACAGGGGGAGAAACTTTAATAACATATACATTACGAGCAAAGGTTCTAAATGCATGTAAAACATAAAGCTTATAAGAATAATTCTAAAATAATTGCATAATAGCAATTTATGAATATTCTAAAAGAAATTCTTTTCTTTTTTCTTTCTTTGAAAAAAAATACTTCACTTTATACTTTGGGAGTTCCAACTATCCTGACTTAATTCTGTCTCAGTCACCGTGTGATCGGCACGGGTTCGATCCCAACCTGATCGAATAGGCCCAATCCACGAGGTGCCACTCGCTTCATGGTTCTCAGCGCTCATGTATCATACCTTAGCATGGCTAAGTAAATTCTCAGCAACGAGACCCTCGGCTCGTATGCTCCCTACTTTGGCACAAGTAGTTTCAGGAAGTAAACGCCTTGGTCAGGACCCTCGGCATGGACGATGACCCCTTCTTAGAATAAAGGATACTCCTAAAAAAACATTTCTTTCTAAAACTTCTTCTTGTGNACTTTTTTGGAACATTATGTACATGCTCATATTGGTGTCCTTAAATGTAAAGCATAGCATAAGAATGAAATAAACATATAAAAATATTTTCAAAGATTCTCTTCTTCATAATTTCAACATGAAAATAGCATATAAGAACAACACAAAAATCTGAAATTTTAAGCACATATAGCGTAATAGATCATCTAAACTTTTGCTAGAACAAATTCTACATTAATGGGGACTCACTCGCTCTAATTAAATAAAGATAAACTCTTTTAAGCAATTCATCAAACACCTTGTATGCGTGCTTTTGTGAGTTAAACCACTTTAGTAAAGGGTTATATCAACTCACCTCAAAACTCCTTGAGCCAATACGTAGACCCCAGTCCAATTGACACCAGTCAAACAATCGATTCTACAACAACCGGTGTATTTTGATCAATTTTAAAGTACTACACCTAATTATGAAATTTATTGATGATATAGAGGAAGAAGGGACTTAGCTATTCAATTCTTACCTATTACTACTGTAGGGTAATTGACAATAAGGGATTTTACATACCTGAGTTCAAGAATAAGTGAGTTGTGAAGAACCCTAGTATTTTTCGTTGCCTGCGTGCTCGGTTTCGTGAGCGAACAGAACTTAGTGTTCTATTTTTTTTTCGTGGCCTCTGCTTTCTGCTTTTCAAGATGGAAGTTTTTTGGTTAAGGCTTCAAGAGCCTTTGTCTTTAAGTGCCCATTTTATGGGTTTTTTTAGGCCCTTTTCCCTTTTTCTTTTTTGTAACTAATAATTAATGATATCCACTTTTAATAAATAATAATATTTTCCTAATTGTATATCCAATTATTTATGAGTGTGTTTGTGTGTATATATATATATATTCACTATTAACAAGAAAAATAATAATAATAATAATAATAATTTAATTTTATAATTAGTGTATCTTGAAACTATTATAAATTTGAGGAGTGTTACAAAGAGTAGTTTCATTTTCAATTGAACTATTGCTACTTGTTTAATGAGAAGGAAAGCAGTGTAGAAATCAGACTAGATGTATATGACATTTATATTTGAATTCTTATCTAAATCAGGACGGTATTTGTTGTCGTTGTAACTGAAGTTTCTTATTCCAATATCTCTTTGTGATAGGGCAGTATTGCTCCTCGACCTAATTTTGACTTGAGTATTTTCCTTTGCTGCCTCATCTAGGTGAGTGTGTCCAATATCTTCATTATATTTTGGAAAAGCATCTTCTTTCTAGCTTGGTCAAGTGTGGGCATGATTCTCTACATGCAGCATGTACCCATTGTTGGCAATTCCAAACGGAGTGATAGGGCCATTGCCTATTGACAAGAAAAAACAGATTGTTACCTAAGATATCAGATACAAGCAAATTCTTTGAAAGTTGCTTCAGAAAACCAATTTACTTTCGGTGTGAGCTTTATTTCGGTTGTTTTGCCATAGTCATGTATGCGGAGTTCGGCATTGATTGACTCTTTACTTTTCCTGGGAGAATGGGGTGTATAAGAAAAGGAGAATCTGAAGTTTCCTCTGCATTACTTTACAAAATCAGCATATATGTTTAAATGTTCCAAGTAACTAGCCAATCATCTATATGATATCTGGTTTTTCCTAATTGGAGATTACTTCACAATTTTTCATCTTGCAAAGCGTGTTAGTTTCTTGTAGTAGACACTACCGAGTGAGGATCATAAGATGCTTTACTTTTTTTATGGCTGTTGATAATTTCTTCAGTTTTGAACTTCTAATTAGGGCGATGCATGATATTCAAAGGCTTATTTGTTGTAGAAGTGGGCATATGGCGTAAATTTCATTTTCAAGTCAAAGGTTCTTCGTGGTTAATGGACAAGTGAAGTCGTAGGCATAATAGGTTTTTTTGACACACTTACAAACATAATGGTTCTAAATGTTTCATGTATCTGTGGTTGTCAGTTCTGAAAAAAGCAATGGACAGTTGCTTTTAGTAGTAATGGCGCAAAAAAGCAACTCCTTTCCATCAGATTTCAGCTCTTTTACTCCACAGCTCCAGCGAATTACCATGCCAATGTATTGGTGGACTTTCTGGTGAACTCACTTGGCTTCTGCAACAAAGAAGCCATTTTTACAAGCTCCAAGGTAACTCGTTCGAGAATCCGAAATTATGAGCCACATTTGTTACTTGATCTCTTTGACAAAATGGGTATGAACAAAGCCCCGATCAAAAACCTTGTTTCTTCTTCCCCTGAATTGTTGTTTTCTCATATTGACAAAAACGTTAAGCCCATAAGGTCTTACAAGAACTTGGCTTATCTGGGCTGACCTTGCTCCTTTTATCAAAAAAAGCAATTTCTTGAAAAAAGGTTTGCGTACTGCTATAAGACCTAGTCTTGATTATCTTCTGAAGTTATTGGGTTGTCATGATTCTGTAGCTAGGGTTGTTAAGGGAGAGCCTAGATTGTTTTCCCATAATCTCCCTAAAGTAATACCACCCAATATATCATTGTTGCAATATTTTGGGTTTTCACGGGTGGATATTGAGAGGGATTTTCATATGCATCCTAGGTATCTGCATAGTAACACTTAGCAGATCGAGAGAGTTGTGCATCGACAAGAAAAGAATTTTCATATGCCTCGGGGGTTGGGGATGTTTTTTCATGGCATTGAAGTACTTTTGTCGCTAAAGGAATCAAACTTAGAAAGGAGATTAGATATTTTTCGGAGTTTTGGATGGTCTGATTCTGATATCTACGCAATGGTGCGAATCCTTCCTTACTGTTTGACTACATCAGAGGCTAAGATAAGACGCACATTGGAGTTTTTTATGATGGAATTGTGGTACAAGTCTTCTCATGCGCCACTTTTGAAGTACAGTTTGGAGAAGAGGGTTTGGCCAAGGAACGAGAAAATCTTGAATTTTCTTAAAGAAAACCAGCTGGTAAATGGGAAGCTAAGTCTTTACACTGTCGTGAAATGTTCCGAATCACGTTTTCTAGAGAAATATTGGTTCCTTTCAGGAAGAAGATGCCGAGATGTATGATTTATACATGAAAACTAGAAGCTAAAGAGAAGCTCTCACAGTGGAGATAGTGGCTGCAGAGCAACGACTGTCTGTTAGGTACATGATATTTAGCTTAAGGTATATATATTTTTACATATATCGCCTCATGTTTTACTCGTGTTTCATGGATTTCGGATGTAAAATATATTGATTTATATTATTCGTGATATTTTTATGTAGGAATCATCCGGAAGCAATTGGGGGTGAAAGATGCGAGATTAGAGCCAAAACGGAGAAAAACGGGAAAATGTTGAATTCCAGCTCCACAGGCATCGCCCCACGCCACCTGTGCCATTTACAGAATATTTGATTTGTCAGCGCCAGTGCCCCACGCTGTCCTGGACGCTGGTGACGGGAATTTCTCCAACTTTGCCCCGGACAAAGTTATTTCGGTCCTAGGCCTACTAAACACGCCTATTTTGAGAGGAGGGACGCCACTTTGAAGAGAGAATACACACGAGAAACATCGGGGTGCAAGGATATCTCAGTTTTCTTCATCTTCTCTTAGTATTTTCAATTATCCAACACTTATGAAATTATTTGATAGTATCATGAGTGGCTACAACCCATAGTTCTGGGGTTGTAATTTAGTCATGAATATTGTTGTTTAATATTGACTTAACCTTAAGTATAATTCGCCAATATATGGTTGTTTTTTCAATTCCATGATTAATTGCTTAATTGTTTAGCCAACAATTAGGTTCTATTTACTATCTTTGCTAAGCTTGGGAAAGCCATGTTTAGATTAGAGAAGAATTGAAGAGAACACGATCTTAACTCGGGTCGGGGGGGGGGGGNGGGGAGATTTGTGGTTAGGATAGGAATATACCTAGTCACCGTGCTTAATTAAATATCGTAATCTTAATGTATTCTTAACAGATTGATTTCATAGGAATATAGGCGTTAATCTATTTTTAATAGGTGAGTAGTACTTCAGGAGAAGGCTACGAGAGCTTTTGCTCAATTAATTAGCAACCATGAGTGAATTGTATGAAACGGAAAGTTAACTAGAACACAATAGAATTAGTGAATACACAACAATCATTTTGTTGCTTGATAATTTAGTTACTAGTTATAATTATTGTTTAGCATAATCACACTCTTGAACTTGAATTGGCTCGACTGAATAACAATCTTGCTGAATTTAGTGGGTTCGACAGTCAACTTATCATTCTATTACTTGTACGATCACGTATACTTGCGTGTGCGTTTGGGAGCAACAGTACAGTTCCTTGATAATATTGTACTTTCATTTTCGTTCTCTTGTCAAATCATATTACTGCTTGTTTACTTCTATGGCTGATGATCCATTACTGACCAACACATACTGGAAATTGAGGCCAGTTTTAGTTTCAATTTTTCTAATCTTAGCTTCTTCCCGCGAGTTAGTTCAAAATTGAGCACATACATCCAAGTTTTGCTTATGGAACTGATCTATCACATGTTGATATGCAATATGAACACATATCCTTAATCAGGAGAAATATTGACTTTGTCTCTTCAACATGTCTTAGCTTGGTAAGTGTGGTCATGGAGTAACATTTGTTTGGCATATTTACAGACATAATGGTTTTATATGTTGCAGGTATCTGTGGTTGATACAAGAAACTTCACTTGGAATTCTTTGCAAAATTTCTTATCATTGAAGTTATGGTGTCTGTATCATTTCTCATCATATAGTTATCCTAAGAGAATGGGGTGGGTCGACACTCGACAAGTGAGAAAGGATCTCTTAGGTTTACTCTAGACATTCACCAGATTTATAGCTTTTTTATGTAAGTCAAATCTTTACACCATTGTGTCATGTTCTGAATAAATATAATGGTGAAGCATGTGCTGACTTTCAGAAACGAATTATGAGGATTCTGATGTGCATACATCAAATATACGAGGGAAAATTTCTGTTGGTAAAGATGCAGACTGCAGAACATTCTTTTGTTTGCGGGTTTGTTTCTTGATAATGTTCTTTCCTCTCAAGCCTCTCTAGAATATTACTGCTATGTCACATTTGGTTGTTGGCAGTGTTTTAAAAGACTTTTCTGGAACTCGCCTCGGGGCACGCCCCGGGACGAGGCACTATCAAAACGCCTTGAGACTCATGTGCCGTGCTTAGTTCTATGAGGCGTACGCACCCAAGCGCCTGACTGTGCGCCCTAAATACACCTAACGTTTAACTCTCGGGACTCGCCCAATAGTTCCTATGCAAATCATGTGTTGAATTCATTAATTTGCACTACTGACTCTTAAAATTCTTTAACAAATGAATGATTAACGTTCTTTTTATCTATAAGAATATAAAAATTGTGAATAACTCAAATAACGAACCATAGTATTGCATATTTACTAATTGAAAACATCGCGAGGGTGAATATCATTTGAATATTTTGTCACGATCCAAAATCCACCAAGGGTCGTGATGGCGCCGGACACCGCTGTCAGGTAAGCCAACCATAAATACTTAATTAAATTCTTGTTTAAATAATTATGAAACTATGATTTTCCTTCAATTTGGCTAGTAAAAGATAATCTTTACAAAATAAATAAAATGTTTAGAAGTTAATACAGAATACCCTATAATCATCCCAGAACCCGGTGTCACAAGTGCATGAGCAATTTCTAGGAAATAATGTAATACAACAACTGTCCGGAATACAATTGGACAGAA